ACTACTGGATACAACATCTATCTTGGGGGGAAATCTGGTTCAATGGTCCTCTCGCAAGCAGAAGGTTGTTGCCTTTTCTTCAACAGAGGCAGAATATAGAGCCTTAAGTCAGGCAACTACAGAGTTGGTATGGATTCAGAATCTCTTCAAAGAACTTGGAATTCCTATAAATAAAATTCCTGTACTATGGTGTGACAACATGAGTGCAGGAGCTCTCTCTTCAAATCCCGTCTTCCATGCCCAGACGAAACATATTGAAATAGATGTTCATTATGTGCAGGAGTTGGTTACTGATAAGAAGTTGTGTGTCCAATATGTAGCTTCAGAGTATCAAATTGCTGATGCTCTTACAAAAGCCTTGCCTGGACAAAGGTTTAATACTCTTAGAGAAAAGCTAAATGTGACTGACTCTCTAGAACGGCCAAGTTAGTCTGGTTTGTGAGACATTTTAGCAGAGAATGAAATGCAGAGAAGTCTGTTTTAAGGGAAGATATTAAGCAGAGAATGGAATGAAGAGAAGTCTGTTTTGAGGGAAGATATTAAGCAGAGAATGAGATGAAGACTCACTTTTGTAATACGCAGCATTTTAGACAAAGTCTTAAAACGCTGCATTTTATTCTACTCACTTAAAACACTGCGTTTTAAGTACTTCGTTTTACATTATATAAAAGCAGATTTGTAATAGCTTCATTAGTAGTTGAAAATAACAGAACAAGATTCAGTTACCCAGTCACGTATTCTCTCTTCTTTCTTCTTGATTCTTCTTTAATTTTTCTTCAACTACACAAATCCTTTCGCACCGAGTTGCCAAACCATAAGTTATCCATTATTGTAATAGATCAAGGTTTGCGTTTGTTCTATTTCACTCTGCCGAACCGTTAATTTGACTATAACATGGTAATAAGTCAAATGTCGAACCATGATTGATCTATGATTGTAATAGATCAAGATCTCATTCAGTTCACAATCTCACTGCCCAACCACAATTTTTTTTTACCGTTAAGAAATCTACTAATTATCGTTACTATTACCTATTAAACAAATATGCTGAACAATTTTTAATTGTAATAAGGCAGTTGCCGAACCATAATTCAAAATAAAATGTAAAATGATTCTTACTGTCTAATAATGACATCTCATATTGTTTTTATCTTTAACAAATCCACCAATCACTATTAATATTGGCCATTCAAAAAAATATGCTAAACAATTGTTAATTTTAGTAAACAAGATGCCGAACTATATCTTAAACGAAAACGAAAAATTGTTCTTACTAATCAAATATATTAACTACTTAAGAAATATAAAATTGCATGAAAATGACGTTGGATATTGTTATAACTTTAAGAAATCCATTGATCTATTATAGTTTACTTTCACATTGTCCGAAGAGTTTTTTTTACATTCTTAAATCAATGTATTATTAACTACTTAATAAATATAATATTGCATTTTTTTACATGTGGCTTAATATAATTAGTGTTTGTCGTTAATATAATGTTGTTTAGGAAGTGTTTCAAACACAAGCAATAAACATACGAACGGACACGCAACACAAGGGAATATGCATTTGTTGCAGAGGAACTGAAAAATCTTAAGGAAAATAAAAAGAAACCCCATTTATATCATCCAAACCTACTTGACAAAATGAAAAACCAATGTACAAATTTCTTTAATAATAAAAATATATTAAATAAATTTCACTTTAAGTTATTGATTGCTCAGTATTAAATTGACTACTTGATTCTCTATATGCTACTTTATTTTGCTTTCAATTTTAATCTTTACCAAATCCAACAACCCCATAATATTACCTATGGAATGCTTACCAGTTGTTATGGCTGAATATAAGTGGTTTTTGTCATTACCATAAAGCTGTTTACAAATTGTTTCAAAAACATCTAATAAACATACCTGCGTTTTCTGCCTATATAAAACATGTAACTCTACAGTAGATATCAACAAATTAAAACAGTCAATACTTCAAACAAACGAAGTATCAAAACCACTTTCATAAACAACTATATTATATATAAACAACAATACTTGAAATACAAGTAAAAAACTTAACTGCACAACGCACAGGCCTTCAATCTAGTTTATTGTATATATGCATGAAAGACTCATCCGTGTCGTGCCTATAGAGCCATGTTAGATTGTTAATATCAGAATTGTGTCTGGATTGATTGGCACAATTTATTGTTTGTATTTAGGCCGTCATTCAAGGAGGTAAAATTAAATTTTCCAATAAAATAGAGTGATGCTATTGATACTTACGTTTTATCTTTCAACACCTCACTTCTAGGTCTACCCCATCAAAATGTCTTAGTATATGCAAGTATCTTTATAAACCTCACTTACTTCCAAACATACCATTTTATTTATTTTTTTAATATATTTTATGCTTTTTTATTTTGAATGTAATGTTCAAAGATGAAATCCATTTACATGTGTTTTTGCTTCCAAGATTGTAAGAATGATAATTGAATGCATTGAATTAACTTACAAATTTTGGAGAAGTGCAGAAAAAGAAAAAGAAAAAAGAAAAAATTAAAAAGAAAAATAATAAAACTAAGAAGTTAGTGCTTCCATAATCTTGATCAAACTCTTTCAATTGCACAAATTTTATCTTTATTATTTGAAAATAAATTTAAGGTTTATTGAATTAGGGTTTATTATTGAAAAATGAAATAAAATTTTTAGATATGTATAACTCTTTTATGTCTTATTTAGTGATTTCATAAGAGATAATACTGTAATTAAAAATTTAATAATAACTGGGATCTAAAGAGAGAAAATATGGGTGGCTCATAGATTACTCAATAAAAAAATATTTTAAAATTTAACGCTTAATCAATTATTATATAAAAAAAAGGTTTAAATTTAAATATTTTAAAATGTCAAACACAAATGTGCCAATCCAAATAAGTTCATTTTGCGATAAGCCGAGCCCATTTGCGTTTGGGCTTGGGCCATATTCGACTCTTTTGTGCCATGCTTATTTTATTGGGGTAGTGATTCTTTTTATCAATAGCCTTAATTTTAATTTTAATTTTTTTACAATTTAAGCGTCAAATAAAATTACTATAACAGTTAACAGAGAATATTGATTCTCAATATACTTCAATTTTTAATTTGGTTTATTTATACTAAATCTTTATTATTGCATAAATTCTTAACCCTAAATTTAGGTATCTTTGAAAATTTTAATATGTAGTAGATCTTTGTTTGTTTAATCAAATATACATTTAAGCGCTAATAATTAAGCCCCTAAGGTATGATATAATAACAAAGCTCCCTTTGAGGTTTTCGAAATAGCAAAAATCCAGCTACTGTTAATAAACTATTAGTGAGTCATTAAAATTTACATAGTTATGAGCTAATAAATATTATCAAATTACCTTGATATCGTTTATTTTAACATTCAAAAGTTAACAGTAGAAGGATTTCTATTATTTTTAAAACCTTAGGGGATATTTGTCATTGTAACATATCTCGGGGGATTAATGTTATTAACTCAATATTTAATTTAAAACTATGGAGAAAATGATATCAACTTATTGGTATTAGAATAACAAACAAAAGAATAAATAAATAAATAAAAATCCAAAAACCTTATCACCTCGCGCTAATGAAAAACCTAATTTATATCGTGTGTGAAGGATAACCTTCTTTCTTTCCATTCTGTCTCAAATGGAAGATCTCTTTTACAAAATTCTAACCCTAAATTTAGGTATCCTTGAAAATTTTTTTATGTACTAGATCTTCAAAGGGAGTTTTGCCATTGTAGGTCTGCTTTTAAGAAAATGATCAAAATCACTAAAGAGTTGAAGCCCTTAAAGCCAGTTTCAGACTTCATGGCAACCAACAGCCATAAGATTTGTTCTTTCGGCCAGAGGCCATTACGATATTCACATACTATTAAAATATTCAATTTATTCGGTAATGAATTTAACCAAGAGACGAGACATAACAAAAAAGGTATACAGGCCAAGAAGCCAAGAAGAAACTTCGGGATGGAAAGCAAACACAAAAAATATATTTATAATTCCTTTTAAAAACTTTGTAATATGAACTAAAATTAGGGAATGAATTGTAAAGAGAAGACTTTCAAGTAATCTAAGGGTGTTTGCGGTTTTCGAATCAAAATTAATTGTAGTACATCACATTTATATGTGCACCGTAAATGAAAATCAAATTGCTTGCAAGAATTATCACTGCAATTATTTTATATATATAAATGAATTTAAGACTACAAAAAAATAGAATTTTGTCGACACCAAAATGAAGGGTTGTTAACCACCCTAGGTGGTTTGTGGTAAAAGAACAAAAGAAGTTTCTTCAAGCTTCTGAGTTCGAGTCTATCTAAGCCTTAATAAGGGTTTCTATTAGAGGATTATCCAGTCGAACTTTCAGGATCCCAATGAATTAGTTGAGGTACATACAAACTGGACTGAATATTCTCGATCATGAAAAAAAAAAAGTATTAATGAAAATAACAAAAATAAAGGGTTGCAAGTGCCAAATTGCATTTTGACAATTTTTTTTTTTTTTTAAAGAAAACTTCTTTAAGCCCATTTAATGCTGAAAATAACCTCTAAGCTTAATAAGGCTTATTTATTACACCAATTTTTCTAAATTTCATATTTGAAACTTACTTTTTCTTTTTAAATTATTTTGGTGTGTGATTAATTTCTTCACAAGATTGATCTTTAAAATAAAATAAAATGTTTCAATAATTATGAAAATTTAGAAGTAGAGTTTATGTAAGAATTAAATGTTCTTTTTAATAATTTAGAATTGTGCGAAATTAAAAGAAATTAACACATAACTTTCCTAATATCTGCTTTACCACTTTGACTTTCTTTTCCTTAAACTCTGAAATCAAAACTGTTACAAAATAGGAAAAAACAACTCCACAATTCATCTACCACGCATTCTTCAACTGAGCTATGACTTATTCACCTTGAGCTGGATTCACCTTGGAAGGAATCTAAAAGTTACAATCTCTTTGACTGTGGCTCATCTTCCTCATCTTCATCTTCATCGGAGAGCAAACATAAGCTGGATTCATTCATTGATTCCTCCTGGCTGAACAATAAACGGACTCCACACTTCTTCACCACGCATTCTTCATCTGTAACACTGAACTTGATAATGGCCTCAGGGAATTCATCCCATTCTGGTTTATCATTCACTTGACAATCATATCCCAGAAACACATGATCAAACTCGACATGGGAGGGCGCATACTCTTTGTTCCAAGCTAAAAAGCTGCCGCTCCCCATTTTCTTCAAGCCATCTTCGCATTTCAGAAGCAACTCGCAGTTAATATGCAACGTCCTAGCTTTATAATCCTGGAACGATAACACAGTGCAGAAGGTGAAGCCAATGAAATTATGATTCAACGAGCCTTCCGGGAGCTCTAGAAATGATGCAGTACTTTGAAAGTTAAACCACTCGGGAATTTCGCTTCCTCGGAAACACATGTAACTGAAAGGACTCTTGTGAGTGTAAGAGGCCTTTTCATACATATTTGACAGAGCGTAATCCAGAATTTTTGTGAGCGTAATCCAGAATTTTTGTGAGCGTTCTCCAGTCCAGATTGAAGCAATTAATGAAGCTGAGATTACCGTTGAAATAGCCATGGCTTGGAATCGGCAAATCAGATAATGTTTGCAGAGATTTGCAGCTATCTGCTACCAGAAGTTGTATGTCACCAGGAAGGTTTGGTAAGGATTGAAGCATTTTGCAGTGGCTCAAGTCGAGCTTCGAAAGGTTGATGATTGTTGCTGGAATGCTCTCAAAATTGTTTCCAGAAAGATATAAATGTTCCAGAAAGGATAAATCGCCAAGACTGTTGGGTAATTCTGTGATATTGCAGTCATTCAGGTTTAGTTTCTTAAAAAGCTTCAAACCTGATAACATAGGAGAAAGAGAACGCACAAGCTCTTGCCCTTTCCATCTCTCAAAAGATAATTCACGAATGTTGCTCAAACTTTCCATGGATGATGGTAATTTGGTTGCAGCAATTCCATTAGCTTCAAACACCTCCAAACTTTGCAGATTTCCGATGTCCTCAGGCAATCTGTCGAGTTTTGAACAACCAGAGATATAGAGATGTTTGAGAGATTTCAGGTTACAGATTTCGTCCGGAAGATTCTCAAGACTTGAACAATTTTTTATACTCAAAGTGACTAGACTGGATAGATACTCGATTAACGAGGGCAATTCTTTTATTGCCGTTTCATCTAAATGTAATTGCTCCATCTTACATGAGATCTTTGGAATTGTCTTGATGTTTGAGCAACCAGAGAGAGACAGATACTTGAGAGATTTTAGCTTACAAATGCCATCCGGAAGACTCTTGAGCCTTGAACAATTCCTGAGACTCAATGTTTGTAGATTGGATAGAGACCCAATTGATGAGGGCAATTCTTCTATTGCAATTCCATCAATATATAACTCTTCTATCTTGCGTGGGATCTTTGGAATAGACTCAAGATTTGAGCAAGAAGATAGAGAAAGATATTTGAGAGATTCAAACTTATGAAAGTTTCTTGGGAGTCTTTCAAGCCTTGAACAGTTCTGAAGACTGAATTGAACTAGTCTAGAAGGTGGTTCATTCGTAGAGGAAAATTCTTTTATTGCAGTTCCATCCAGACTTAGTTGTTCTGTGTTACATGAGATCTTGGGAGCCGTTTTGAGATTTGAGCAACCTGAAAGAATGACAAATCTAAGAGAATTTGATTGATGAATACCCGGTGGAAGACCAGGGAGGCTTTTGCAATTTCTTAGATTCAGAATAACAAGTTTATTGAGCTTCCGAGTAGATGGGGAACTGATCTCAATCAAACTTGTACAACCTTCGAGAATCAAACTCTCAAGATTCGGGGCCTGTGAGAGGTCCGCAATCTTACGTAGATGCACTGAGTAACTCAGGTCGATGTATTTCAAATTAACAAGAACCTGCAACCCAAAAAAAAAAGGACTGATGCAAATTAGAAAATCTGATATATACAAACATAAGATTGTTATATAAAATAAATATACCTGGACACTACTCCAAAGTTCTTCAAGATTACTATAGCGCGTTTCAAGTGCAACAAGGTTCTTGGGCTTAAAATTGCATGGCAAAGATTTCCACCGATAATTATGCCAACAAATATATCTTAGCTCTGGGAAATCAAATTCCAGGCCTTGAAACCCATGCACCTTATTATGAACAGCTCCATAGACATTCAAGAATTTCAAACTATGCATATTTGAGAAAGTGAGAGGATTTAAGTGTACATCTCTTATTTCAAACATGTCCATGCATATGCCTCGAATCGCTTCAGTTCCCTGACAATCAAGATGAAACCATATAAGTTAGCATTTATAACCCTCAAATAACGCATGAAAAAAAATGAAAATGATATATTCCAAGCTGATGTTTTACCAGACTCACAAATGTGCAAAAAATAAATTCATGAAAAGGTTCTCAACACATGATGAGTATCCTTGGGATGCCACAATCGACTACGCTTGCCAATATCCTTTTCTTCACGAACAATTGTCCTTCCCATTTCTTGAAGCAAATCATGCATTGTTATCATATTGTCTAATGATATAGTTACGAGACACTTATCAACGAGAACACTTATTCCACACTCCGCCTTTAAGTCACTTGCCTTCAAGATTTTTATTACCAGATCTTGGTCCTTCCATTTGAAAAAACATGCAATATCTAAAAATATATCTTGCTCCTCACCATCCAGTCCATCATAGCTTACTTTTAACACCTTGTAAATATTCAAAGGAGGAGTTTCTTCTAGTTTACTTATTGTACTTTCCCAAACTTCTACACTCTTGTTAACTAGAGATGAACCCAACACTTTAAGAGCTAATGGAATACCTTTAGCATAATTTACTACCTTATTTGAGAGCTGCAAATAATCCTCTGGGATGAGATTTTGTTTGAAAGCATATCGGCTAAAAAGATGCATATCTTCTGGGTGAGATAATTTCTTAACTTCATAGATTCTATCTACTTTGCAGCTCTCAAGCACTTGTTTATTTCTAGTTGTTATAATGACCCGGCTTCCTGAAGCCAAGCTTTTATAATCTTCAATTAGATCTTCAATTTGTTGAAAATCTGTTACGTCATCGAAAACAATGAAAGTCTTCATTAGACCAAGCCTTTTTTTTGTGATGTAGCATCCTGTGTTGGGATTTTGATCCCCTAATATAGCAGAAAGAAGTTTTTCTCGCAAGTGAACTAGTCCATTAGGATTTTCTGATTCTTCCTAACATTTTCAGCAAAGTAGAATCCTTCAAAACAATTCGAGATTTCATTAAACACAGCACGGGCAATTGTTGTTTTGCCTATACCGCCGATGCCCCAAATTCCTAGAGTGCAAACATCTTTGTTCAATAACAACTCAATTAATTCTTTGATAGTTGATTCTACTCCAACCAAGTTCTTGTTATCACTCGGAGACATAACATTCCTCAATCTCCTCAAAATATCATCGACAAGGTCCTTCACAATTTCAGCTTCTGACCTAACAAATATTAAAAAACAATAAAATTATTTGTAAACCGAAATGCAGTTTTAAATTTCAAACTGTAAAACTACTTTGGACTTGTGGCTGAGCCAAGAATTCAAGTAAGGGGGGATGCGATTTAGAAAATGATATAATTTAAAATTTTCAATATAATGATATATATTGGAACTCTAATTATTACTGATAATATTTTTATTCAATACAGTTATATATAATTGCCTTTGATGTGTTTTTATGTTTTCAAAGTGGTTTACAATAGCATCATTATCAATACTGTTAACTGTAAAAAAATCTTAAATTCTTAAAAGTAAATTAAACTAAATTAAAGAAAACCAGTAGAATATGATTAATGAGGTAATAAAGAATTTATCTTAGATCAAAAACATAATTTATTAAGTTTAGGAAAAAATATGGACTTTATAATTTTTTTTACACGCAATAAATTTAAATAAATTTGTATAGCATGTGCCTTATTTTGTTATAATTATTAATCTATTTATTTTGAAGTGATGCTATTGACCCCCCACTTATTATCTAATATGACCCCATCTTTAAATTTAAAGACTAATTTAACTTCTAAAGATACCCCATTTATTATAACAATTCCCTTTATTTTCAATGACTGCAACTCTATTTTTTATTGTCCTTTTTTTTCCCAAAAAATTAAAGCACTTCTTCAACTTATTTTTTATTTTTTTTCTTCTTTTCCAACCCATAATTTCTATTTAAGATTCACCAGTGCAAAATTGGTGTTGAAAATTCATAATCATTGTTTGAATTTAATATTTTTTTGAATCCTTCATAACACAACGTGTGATGAACAAATAAACTAGAAAAGAAATATTGTTCGAAATAAAATATAAATTTGATTTAGATTTTTTAATTCAATGATTTTTTTCTTTCATTATTTCAAATTTTTATGTATTTATGATTTGAAAGTTTTGTATATATATATATATATATATATATATATATTGCTATTCTGTATTTTTCTTTTCCTTTTTTGGTTGCATTTTTACTCTTTTTAGTAATTTCATCAAAGGAAAAATATGTAATATAAAATTATTTTTCAATAGGGGGCTTAATAGATAATTGGTAGGACCGTACGATGCCAATAGCATCATTCTTTATTTTGTTTTAAGCTTAATTATTCGATTATGTAATTTAAAAATTATAAATTTGCAAAGTCTTATAATTTTTTTTTTTCAGTGAGGGCACTGGCCCAACCTAGGCATCAAATTCAAATCAGATGAAAGAAGCTGAAATGAGGAAATTAAGAAAGAGTAGAAACTTACGTCTTATCATTCAAAGGCCAGCCCGACAGATTGGCTACTTCACTCAAAAGCACTCCTCCATCTCTGCACCATCTCTGGTTGCTCATTAAATCGTTCTTCAAGCTCAATAAATCCATCTCCAAAACTCCCGGTTCGATTTCTTACATCCGATGGATCAACATGATAGAAAACCGGGATCACGATCCCTCCATGCATGTTCTTGCATTCCAGGATTTTCACAAGTTCTTCGAGGCACCATCTCGAAGACGCATAATCTTTGGAGAAAACGATAACCAAAATCTTTGACCCTTCGATCGCATTCAGAAGAGATGGTGAAATTTCATCTCCTCTCTGGGGTTTATTGTCGATAAAAGTTGGAATGCTTTTCCGACTCAGAGCTTCGCGGAGATGACTGGTGAAATTATAGCGGGTGTCCGCGCCTCTGAAACTAAGGAAAACATGATGCTTCGCTTGAAGATTTGTGGAAGAAACAGTGAAAGAAGAAGCAGCCATCGGTTACCACTGATTATCAATCAAGAACGAAACAGATGAATCAAGTTCTCAAAATTAAAACAAAAAACAGGCAAAAAAGATGATAATAATAATAACAATATCCAGATAATTAAAGTTTTTCTTCAGAATATTGTTGTCAGCTAGAGTTCTAAATGAAAGATTGCTTCAAAGAAAGTTATGGAATCAGGTTTTTATAGATTTGTCAAAGTAATAAAGAGAAGGAGGAAACTTTTCTTCAGTTCAAACGCTCAACAAAGAAAATATATATAAGCGGAAAATAATAGAAAATAGAACATCAGAAGCCGTCCTGGGAGTTTCTCTCAGTGCGCATTCCATTTTCTTAGTTTTCCACGTTTTTTGGAATATGTACGGTCTTTTTCTTTTTGACTAATTTACCAACGTGAATTTTCCTTGAAAATATCTCAAGAATATTCTGTCTGAGTAATCAACGTGAATTAGTTTTTATTCTCGTACTGTCGAGGTTTTTCTAGAAAAAGTTGAAGAGAATATTTTTTAAGGACATGTAATCCACCGAATTTCATTCTCAGCTTGTCACTTGTGCCTTGTAAAGTGGCAGAAGACATCATCAGCCGGCCAAAGAAACGAAGTAAATACTTTTATATTTATTTTATTTTTCATTTTTTCCTGTGAAGTGATTGAGGGTCGACTTCTAGGAATAACTTGATTATTCTCGCAAAGTTTTCTTACAAATGAAGGAACACCAATTAATGAGTTATTTATTTTTTTTATATTCACTTTATCCTTTATATTTAACTGCATCACTTAATTTATACACACATTTTATATGAGGATTTTACAAGTGTAATATTATTTTTTATAAGAAAAAAAAAATATTGACCAACATTCTTGACACGATAAACGCTAATATAAATTTGAGAGAAAAAAAAAAAAAAAACATTGGAACCTAAGAATTTTAAAGTTAGTCTCATAATTATGAAGACTATTTATTTTAATCTTTGCATCACTTTTCTTTTTCTCCAACTATCTTTTGATTGCAGCGGTTTTTCAATTTTATTATTTAAAAAAATCTGCTAAAAGGGAGAAGATTATAGGATGAATTTCACAATTTCAGTGGCCATTAGACGTGTTTCCGAAAGGATCTTTAGGAATAATGCAATAAAATTAAGTTTTTGCTTAAATATTGGTAATATGGAAAATCAAAAAATTAAAAAAAAAAAAATTGAGAGGAATGGAGTGGAAAAATCTGATTAGATTATGTTGGTGGAGGTTAGAAAATAGAAACTTCACATGCCCTTCCTAAATTCAACCCAAACAAGATGAAGCTCAAGACAATTCAATCCATTATTAAATATTTTAAGAATCATATTAGTTCAGTTAGGTAGATCGGTGACACATCCACACACACACACACACACACACACAGAGAGAGAGAGAGAGAGAGAGAGAGAGAGAGAGAGAGAGAGAGAGAGAGAGAGAGAGAGAGAGAGAGAGAGAGAGAGAGAGACACTCATAATTACAAGCTTTATATAGGTAGTCTACAATTTATGAAATATCATAATTATGTCAATTACAATATACCAATATAATTAGGAAATTATAAGATACCAAATACATGTATGAGTATCCTAAAACTAACAAAATTAGGAGATTACGATATATTCAGGAAATATTTAGTAAATCTCAACACTCTCCCTCAAGTTGGTGCATAGATTCACACATGTCTAACTTGTCTAAAACTTATGAGAAAATATGTTTGGAGACAGCCTTGGTAAGACTATCAGCCAATTGATCCTCTAATCAAATCTTGGACAATTCAATAATCTTTTCATCCAGTTTTTCTTTGACGAAAAATCTATTCACTTCAACATGCTTCATTCGATCATGTTGAACTGGATTTGAGCAATGTCACATGCTGTTTTATTTCACAATATAATTGAATTTGTTGACAAGGTTGATAGCCTAAATCTTGCAAGAGAAATCATAGCCATAACGCTTCACAAATCCCAAGTATCATTCTCCTAAATTCTGCTTCAGCTCTCGAGCGTGCCATAACATTCTATTTTTTGCTTCTCCATGTGACTAGATTACCTCCTACAAAAGTGAAATAACCAAAAGTAGATCGCCTGTAATCCACTGCTCCTGCCCAATTAGCATTAGTATATGCATTCACATTTTGGTAATCCGTATTTTTAGTAAATATGATTCCTTTCCCAGAAGCATGTTTTAAGTATCTCAAAATGTGCATGATAGCATTTATATGTTGTTCTTCAGGGTTATGCATGAACTGACTGATTATACTCAATGCATAGGCAAGCCCTGGCCTAGTGTATGACAAGTTCATCAATCTTCCCATAAGTCTCTGATATCTGCCTTTATCAACTGGTACTTGATCAGTCTTGATACATAATTTCAAACCTTGTTCAATTGGTGTATCTGCTAGTTGACATGATGACATACCAGTTTCCTGCAAAACATCTAAACATAAATTCTTTGTGATAGAAAGATACCTTTGTTAGATTGAGACACTTCGATTCCAAGAAAATATTTCAAAGAACCTAGGTATTTCATTTCAAATTCTTCTGACTAGTAATTTTGCAGAGCCTTCCTTTCTTCTGGATCATTTCTAATGACCACTATATCATCCACATATACAATAAGTGTGGTGATCCTTGTTGTTTCTTTAGGAATAATGTGTGATCTGAATTGCTCTGATGGTAGCCATAAGACTTCATAGATTTGTAAACCTCCCAAACTATGCCCTCGAAGATTGCTTTAACCCATATAGAGATTTCTTTAACTTACATACCTTTTGGTTGTGATTTTCTGGTGAAATACACCTTGGTGGAGGATCCATATAGATCTCCTCTGACAATTTTCTATGTAAGGAAGCATTTTTCACATCGAATTGTTGTAATGGCCAATCAAGGTTTGCAGTTAAAGATAATAAAACACGTACCGTGTTGATTTTAGCTACAGGTGCAAATGTCTCTATATAGTCGATCCCATGGGTTTGGGTGTACCCTTTTGCTATTGGTCTGGCTTTGAATCTCTCAATTGTATCATCAGCTTTATACTTCACAGTGTAAACCCATCAACATCCAACAGTCTTCTTTCCTGGTGGATGATCAATAAGTTCCTAGGTCTCATTCTTCCATAACAATTTCATCTCCTCATTCATAGCAATTTTCCATTTTGGATTAGATAAGGCTTCCTACACAATGTTAGGAATAGATACAATAGATAATTAATTCATAAATGACAAAGTTGATCCTAATAGATGATGGTTAGACACATAATGAATCATTACGTATTTGACCTTACTAGATAGTTGAGGTTCGTATGTTGGTTTGGGAATCCCTCTAGTACCACGTGGTGGTAACTGTTTCCTAATTGGTTCAAACTCAATTGGTTTAGACTCTAAATCAGAACATTCTCAACAAATGATGGTTGTGACATACAAGAAATGAGAGACTTTGACTAAGAGGTTTCAACGAACGGATTTGATACCACCTCCACATTTTCATCATCCATATCATCTTTTTGTTGAACAACCAGTCTAGTTTGTGACTCATATTCTCCCACATCTTGAACATCTTAAACATCATAGTCAAAAGTCTGAATTTCTTCCTAACAATACTCCCTTTGAAGTTTAGACTCAGAAGAAAAAGCATCAATTGTTCATGGAAAACAATATCCATAATTGCAAACATTTGTTGAGTTGGAGAATGATAACACCAATACCCCTTTTGATGAGCACCATACCCAACGAAAACACATTTCAATGCGCGAGAGGACAACTTGCTGTGTTGTTGTTTATGAACAAAGTCAATACAACCAAAAACATGAGGCGGTAAGTTTCGGACCGTTGGAGCATTCACTGCTTTACCAAGAGATTGAAAAGGTGTCTAGGGTGTCCGGGCCAGTTTGCGTACATCTCAATTAATCCTCAGGGTCCATTAAACACCCTACAAGTCCAAAATGCCAGGTAAGCCCCTAGATTCATTGAACACCTTACAAGTCCACAGGACCAGGTAAGTCACAATGTGATAGGTGGTCCCAAGGTTTGAACCTAAGAAGTCAATAAAGAGAGAAAACCTCCTTGACCATCAAACCAACCTCTTGGGATTAATCAATTCTTTGTTGTGCTACTAGTTCGAGGACTTGACGTATCACATTGAGCCCCCTGAAGTTCAGACTTAGAAGAAAAAAGCATCAATTTTTCATGGAAAACAACATCCATCATTGCAAATGTTTGTTGAGTTGGAGGATAATAACACCAATACCCCTTTTTATGAACACCATACCCAACAAAAACACATTTCAATGCACGAGAAGACAACTTGTTGTGTTGTTGTTTATGAAGGTGAACAAAGACAATACAACCAAAAACATGAGGCGGTAAGTTCCGAACTGTTAGAGCATTCACTACTTTACCAAGAGATTGAAAAGGTGTCTAGAACCCAATAGAACTAGAGGGTACCCGATTGATTAGGTAGACTATAGAAGTAAGTGCTTATCCCCAAAAAGATAACAGCATGTGAGCTTCTATTAATGAGGCACGAACGACCTCCAATAAGTGCCGATTTTTTTGCTCAGCAACACCATTTTGTTGGGGTGTGTAGGGACAGATAGTCTTATGAACGATACCATGTGTTGCCAAGTACTATTGAAGATCCGAACTTTGGTATTCTCCTCCATTGTCTCTTCAGAGGACTTGAACCTGTGCATTATACTGCGTATGAACCATTTTGTGAAATCTCTAAAAGAGCAAATTAACCACCCCTTTGGATTTCATTAGACATACCTAAGTCATCCTTGTACAATCATCAATAAAAATAACAAACCAACAAGATCTACCTAAAGTAGTAACTTGTGAGGGCCCCTAGACATCTGAATGTATAAGCATAAAAGGACTTGGACTTTTGTTTAATGTTATTGGGAATAAGACTTGATTACTTTTTTATAGTTCACAAACATCACAGCGGAAGTTACTAATATCATTTTTTTTTTAAACAAAC